GTCTGTGTACCTTCTTATGTGAAGATTAGTAACACATCAGGATTACAATTCAGACTTCGGATAATGTCCAGCATTGACTTATATATTCATTTTGAGTTCAAATTATCACCACCACCTCCAAGAAGATGCCTTAAGATCAGTTTTACACAGTTTCATGACTTGATATTATTATTGGCAGAGTCTATGTGTCTTTTGAGTTTTCATATACCTACAAAAGACTAATTTGATTTGTCTCATTCTGGTCTGTCACACTATTAATTACAAAGTGGATAATTTTCAGTCCAGTGTGACATACAAGTTTACAACACTTCAGTCTTTATTCACCTTACATGTTTCGATTCAAAAGAATCATCCTCAGAGGCGCACCACTACNACGTCATAGATATAAAGGTTATATCTTTTAACTAATGGTAAGATGTACACTCATTTGTTAAAACATCTAAAAATTATTACAGTAAGAACCAAATTGGTTCTAGATTAGAACAAATATTGTACACTACTTTGCAAACAGACTTATTGTAATAATTTTTAGATGTTTTAACAAATCAATGTACATCTAAGCATTAGTTGAAATATATAATGTTTATATCCTTCTGAAGATTGTCGAAACTTTTATCAGTCACCTTGAACAAACAAAAACTCCGTGGCTTTAGTTCGCAAACTAACTATACCGACCGAGCTACCGCCGCTTGTCGGCGAAGTTGATGTCAACTTTAGTGGATAGAGGGAGTCGCGTGGTCAGCGCAACGGATACCCACGGCCTTTAATCTCGGTTTTCTNCCGGGTATTTGAACCCACGTACCATGAGTCATGAGGTGGGAACATTACCTCTAGACTACGGAGGCCGCTTAGTATTAGTTAAAAGATATAACATTTATATCTATGACATGGTAATAGTAGCTTCCATATGTCTTAATAATATCCTTCTTAAGATGGCTGTTTTAACCAAAACATGTAAATGATAAAAAATTATAAAACAACTTTTATCAATTACATCGGACGGTGGTTAAAAATCTTATATACAATTACGAGTGTGACAGTTACTTTTATAACCCATTACAAATGTTTCAGTAATATAGCTGTAGTGCTTTACAATGATTTGCATTAGACTGTACATCTTCTGATTCTGTTGCTTGTTGCAATTTTCAGAGTTGAATGCAGCAGGGATGGAGAGTGTACAAATATTGCTATTGCAATCAAGAAAGGCCAAATATATAATTACTTCATGTTTGATTTAGTGCAGAGGCAGTTCATCTGGCTCAGGTCCTATAAGCAAGCAACTGCTGACTAGAAATTGTACTTCTCAGCTTACAGGTGCCAACAGTGGGCACAGGAGATCCTCTGTACTCATTTGAATGTGACATGAACTCTGTGGCCTTCCTTCCAGTACACACAGGCACTATCAGCAGCTGCAAGCTGTGTCTTACTTAAAAATAGAGATGTTATTCCAGACAGTAACAAACAATAAACACATAAGTCCACACTAAAGTTCAGAGTTGGTGCCAGCGTATTTCACGAAGAATTTGCAGTTTTGTTTTCAAGATGGTTGCCCTGAAAAAGAAGGAAATAAAGAAAATGTAATAATGCACATGTTAAACTTAACGATCACACAAAAACCTCACATGGTGGTTTTCTCTCTGAAAATTAAATTTCATATTCTGCATCAAAAATATAAATTTTTAGTTAAGCTTCACAGTACCAAAGAGGAAAGTCTTATTAATTCATAATTAAAATGACACTTTATGGTGTACACTCTAGAAATTATAACACGATGAGTGACATGCTCAGAGAAAAACAAAGATTTACTTTGCGGCAGTATAATCACTGAATGACATTATCAACATTACTATATGGGGGCTCATCTACTATGCCTTTAAGTTAAAGCTATGAATTACTGTTATTTGTAATGTCAAGATAAGACAAATTTTGAATTGAGTTGACTGGTTTCATCTAGTAATCTGTGTTGTCGTGTCTAAGTCTGTCAGGTAATGAATAGAATTACTTTTTCTCAGTTAGAACTGGCTGTTCTTTTGAATGAACTGAATCACTGGCAGGCAAAAAGCATACTCATATTTGTTTACTGTCAGTAAGGACCAAGAATAGAGACTGTTTCTTTCTGTTGCTGCTGCAAGACACTAAGCGTTCCAAGTGGGGTGTCTCTTGAGCTCATCAACTGGAACAAAATAAAAATTAATCTCATTGAGCCTGACACCTCAGATGGGGCAGGGTCTGTTTGCCACTAAACATGCTGAAGTGTTTGCAGCACCTGTCACTGATTATCCTAACAGCTGACCAAATTTTAAGTTAGTCTGCTGCTTGAAGACATCAATTTCCCCCAATTTCCAACCCATGGTCTGTGTCTATGTCTGCTAGCCTATTGACAACTGAACAAATATGCTGTGGGTTTTATGAGCAGGCTCCATCGGACTTGCCGCAAAGTTGCCGTATTCGCTTCTGTTCCAAGACTGAAGCTACTGTATATGTTTGCAGTCAGCAGAAAATGAACGCACAAAAAGTGTGGATGGATATCTATCAGCTATATGGAATCATGGACATGCAATGATAACTACAATTTACTTCCTTATGGAGCACCATTTAGAAATGGCGTAAAATTGTTTCACAGTCTCACGTGCAGTACGTCTTTCTGTAAAACTTTCTGAAAGTTATTGATTACATGTTTTGAACTATAAGGTTATCATCAGGTGTTTTAAAATTATAAATTATAAATGAAGAACCTGCTGTGCTTCCATATTGTGGTTGTTGGCCATTAGTGTGTGGTCCCTTCTGTGCGCATGTATATATGAAGTGATAGGTTGCTCTGCCTGCTATGTTACACAGCATAACACAACAGGAAGAACAACCGGCCACTTCGTATATACATGCACATAGAAGGGACCATACAGTAAGTACCAGCAACCAACAGTAAGTACCAGCAACCACAATATGGAAGCACAGCAGTTTCCTCATTTATGATTTATAACTTTAAAACACCTAATGATGACCCTATAGTTCGAAACGTGTAGTGAATAACTTTTAGTAAGTTATATAGAAGGACGTGCTGCACGTGAGACTGTGAAACCATCTGCTACTAAATGAAGTGCAGCAGGGTGCTACAATATAGCACTAGTTACAAATAACAGCTCATGACCAGGTCTGGACCGATACTCACTCCTTCCTGTTCATTCTTCTTCATTCGCTTCTCTGCTTTATTTCTGCCAGGTCCCTTTCCATGAAATTTATGAGACAGGTACCTGAAATTAGAAAGAGGGACAACATTAAAGTCACTGTATTTTAGGATCTTACAGAATATGACCGTGTTTCCAAGTAACATGTAATAACATCCTTACATTCTGAAGTTCCAGCCAGAAAATATGGGTGTGATCCATATTTAGCTCAATCTGTTATTTTGTGAAATAATAAAAATATGTAACATTGTTTTCCAAAACAACTTACTCATACAGCCAACAACCAGAAATGGGCATGCTACAGCTCATTAAAGTCATAGGAATTGAAATGATTAAGGCAGAATATTTTAATAAAAGTACAATGGGACAGTAATAATTTTGAGGCACGTTTCTTCTTAATTCAGGCAACCTATCTGCAAAATGAACCATTCTGCCACATTCTATGCCTACACAACAAACTGTATCAAGTACAAAGTATTTACGCACTCAAATGTCACAATACATTGGCAACTTAGAAACTGTCACATACAGAATGAGAGAAAAGGAAGTCAAAACAACATGTATATAACAAAATGTTCTACTGAAAGCATCTGAGGTGGAAGACAACAAGCTCACCCCCCATGATGGGGTAATCATGCTAGTGCTAGTCAGCAGAAGGACCCTACAATTTAACATGAGGGGGGTATCCTTTGTATTCCAAAAGCTTTAACTCTGGTAGATGTGAAGGCATCATCTGTGAGCAGAAAAATCTGTACACAGATGTGACCAAGGATAAAACTCAGAACCTTCTGAATGGGTATAAGAGCTTACCCCAGGACCTTTCTCTTAAGGACCTACTTTAAGTGGCTCTAGTGTTGCTCCCAGCTCAGTCGCCATGTTATCGCTGATGGCAGACAACTGAAAAAACATAGTGAGTGGCACGATGACAATACAGAATTTCACATAAATCCATCAGTTGGTTCAAAAATTACGGTGAGGACGGCACACATAGATGATAAACACAGTGGTCCCATAATCTTGCCTGTTTCCACTGAAAATCCGCTTCCTCCTTGGAATTTTTTTCTTAAAATGGAAATTACTGTGAGAACTTTTTTCCCCTAAAGAATGTACTGCCATTGGACAGGCTACCCTCCACAGTGCGACCTATCTTAAAAACAGATATGCTGTTAGCTGTGCTAACCTGAAAGTCTCCTTTGCATTAAGCAGATGTCCATCATCATCTGTGTAGTCGAATTTAACATCTGGTTTATAGCCCTCCTCCTCCTCTCTGAAATCTGAGGTCGGACCACTGTAGCACTCGCAATGCCCAAACTTTTCATCATCTCTGAAACAATAAAGCAATGCTGAATATTAAATTCCTTAATTAGACTTGCTTGCTTACTTCGTCCTGTCTTGACCATCATGTACACCTCCCTAATACTTGAGTGGGTCAATCCCAAGAGACCAGACAAGATTTGCAATTCAGTTATAGAGGAAATGACAAAGTATTCAAAGCTCAGATATTCTTTACCCTTCAAAATCTCCTACTCTACTCCATAATCTAAAGCAAGTAGCCAATTCTTGTGCCCATGACAACTCTCTTCCCTAAGGCCTGCTGCAGAGAAGACTTGACAGCTACACAACAACTTAGGTGACTCAGTCTGCAGCCACCTGCTCATGCTGGTTCCTCGCTTGCGGATTTTTATACCCTGAAGATGGAAGCGATATATTCCTCCAAAATGTAGGTCTACACAATATCTACACAGTGCCAAGCACAATAGATCACTGTGGTTGGAGTGCAAGGGCCAAGAAGGCCCACCCTTTGTACATTCATTCATTACACAAGTGCCACATCCGAGAATACGGCATTCTCCATGAAAGACATTCACTACATACCAAGACTCTCTACAGTACTAATATTAATCAGTAATAATTAATTAGTGTTTGTATTAAAACCCCTAATAAAACTGCAGTATACGATTAAATACGGTACAACATTTCTGAAATCCCTAAAATATAAATGTATAATTAAAACCAATATAAAAGTGTCAGGGTCTCTTAATTTGAATTGGCCTATGGTGTACATAAGGAATCTGCTAATGACTCACCAATCTCAACTTCATTCCAAGCTCCACGTCTGCCTTCTTCCCGACGTTTCTTCTCTTCAATCATTTCCTTCTCAGAGTCCTGTAATGTACAAGATTAGCAAGATGCAAATGTGCAGCCCAAAAATTACCAATTAATTACCTTGAGACAGACTGAAATCTGAACTGCTGACCCACCCCAC